GAAGAAAACTTTTCCACACCTCCATCCGCTACCAAGTTATCGCCTCTCGAAATTTCTAAAATTTTTGTCGTCTTCTATTTTCGAAACCGTAAGGTTTTTCAACGGTAAACTTCATGCCGTTAAAAAGTATAATAATTTTTCTTAGCACACCCAATTAACCCCTAAAATCGAACATTATATTAACACCTCTTTAAATTGGTTTTTCGCTTTATTTCAAGGCTGCATAAATCATTCATTCTAAATGTATGCAATTCTTGAAATAGTTTCGCATATGAATGAAAGTAATTTTAATAGCGTAGAAGGTATATTAAAAGCAGTATTTTCACTTGTTGAAGGGAAAGGTGCTACATTTCAAACCATTGGCTTGACGCAACCTAATTATTTTTCATTCCTACGTTATTATAGTGATTTATATATCAATATAGGCCTTATTGTACCCACTACATTGCATTCTTTAACGCTTTTCCAAAAAAGATAAAAAAAAATACTTATTAGTTTCATTCTGCATTCATCAGTCCGTCCTTCCGTTCGTCTGTCCGTGTATCTGTTAATGAAACTTCTACGCTTCTTGATAAATTTACTCCGGAATACCTTAAAAAATTTACAAGTTAATGTCGGTATCAAACAGAGTTCAAATATCAAATTTCAAGAAATTCTATAAATTAGTTCCGAAAATATGGTAAAAAATGTAAAATCGGCCCTCAGTTCGGTTTCCGAGTCCTGATGTTGCCAAAAAATTTATTGATTCATTGTTTTAATACCCCGAATTTAAATATTAAATTTCAAGAAAATTTCTTTTTGAATACGCAAAAATGTAAAATCGGCTTGCAAAAAAGTCCAGTTCTCGAGGTCTGATATATCCCAAAAGCTCCATAAAAAAAATCCGTGCCATAACCAAAATAAGCTCACATATAAAATTTAATCAAAATCGTTTCAGCTGAAATTGCACACACAGACCGACAGTCCGAAAGACCGACAAACCGATAGACCGACAATAACGAAATCTCTCTAAAAACAGTTTATTTACGCTTTCCTACTATGTATAGAAGAGCGTTCCCACCGAAATGCTCTACATCCGAAATTTGGTGCCATCACATCACCGTTCTTACTGTATACAAAGCGGTCGGTAAAAAGGTAAATTTTGCTCTAATAAGGACTTTAAAAGCTGTAATAAATAAATCTGAACAGTTTCTAAACCTTATAACTGTAAGTCTTTAAAAATTTTTATTTATTTAAATTTAAATGCTTGTAGTTTTAGGCCCTGAAAGAATATTTTTGAATCTGGCATTTAAAAAAAATTAGTTTGAAATTTAAATTAAAAAGTCTTATTTAAACCATAAAATCTTAAAATGTTAATGTTTTAAACTTAAATTTAAAATTAATAGTTTGAATTTTTGATTTTTACGTTTTTACAATTTTATTCTATAATGTCACCACTTTTTTATAAGCCGTTTACGCAGTGCAGGAAATTAGGCTTTTATTTCAAAAAGTCTCAGGCTCATTGATAAATTTTGTTAAGAAAAAGTAAAAAAAAAATTAAGTACATACAATGATTAAAGTTATTAAGGATGGTTTACTAAGATATATGAAATGATTTCTCAATAACATTATCTCTGTGTACATGAAAGTTCGCTACAGTATAAAAAATTGAAAATTGGGGTTTTATGTATTAATTTTTAGCTTTTTTGATTTAAATTTTAAAATTGTTGATTTTGTATTGGGTGTATTCAAAATAACCATCTTCACAGAGCTTAAATATTTAGCAAATTAATATACATATATGTAGGGTTAAATTTATTTTAATATTGTCTTTTATTCATTACACAGACAATAAAGTTCGCAAAAAATCAATAAAAAATATAATTTTTATAGAGCGATACAAAATGCATATAATCGGAAGCAAAGCGATCAATTTTATTTCACAAATCAATTTTGTTATAATGTTATGTGTTTTATACCTATGCATAATCAGTTTGCCACTCCAACACATTATATATGTATATATATATTAGAGCACATAAAAAAAATGTTAATGCAGGTTCCAAAATTTTTGTTGTTGTTGATAGTAAAAATTATTAATAGTTATGAATTTTTTTTTTCAATAAAATTAAATCATTAAAAATTTAATTGTCACAAATTAAAAAGTAATGAAATATTTCAACGCACTATACTATACAATATGTACATACTCAAGTACCAAAGTAACTTCAAAATTTCTGCAATAGATGGCACAACAAATATTGTTTTTTGGAGCATGAAGATTGGCGTGCTCCTATGTATAATTCATACAAAATTAAAGAGAAAATTGAAACACCAACACACACTCAGAATTATTCTCAATTTTTAGTTTTTTGGCATTAAAGATTTACGAAATATAAATTTCATTACTTTTATCTAGCATAGAATTTATCTTAATTTCGATTTAATACATTAGTCATTCTATTAAAAAATGAGAAAATATGTATTACAAAAACTAAATAACATTTTCAAGCAATTATACACATTTTTAAATAAAAACTATGCGGTAGATAATTTTTGAATGTGTGTGTGAACTTTGTGCAATAGGGGAGAATAATAAATAAGTTGACTGTAGTAATGTAAGAAGGAAAAGTTAAATTTTGATGTCTCTTCTTTTGTATGAGAAATTGAATTATAAAAGAAACAAAAAAACAAAATTTCCCTCTCTGATAATTTTCTTTAGTTTGGAAGATTGAAAAATTTCAAGAGATTAATGTGCACATGTATAGCCCAACTAAATTAGTATAAGCAGAAACCATTCATAACATATGTATGTGTATGTTTTTCTGATTTTATGTCAATAAAGCAAAGAAAAATAGATTTTTCTATAGAGAGAAATACAGTTTGTTTTTAATTCTTGTTTGTTTACACTATAAAGTTCGATTTAGTGGTGTTTGTATGAGTTTACAGTAAAGAAAATAACTTGTAGTATTTGGATCAAACATGTGTTGTGTATATATTTTTGTGCTATACCAATATCTCTTGTTTTCTTTACAATATGCTCAATGTTTGTGTGCTTAAAAATATGAAAAGAAACGAAATATTTTTTTATTGATGATTATTTACTCTTAATTTTTCAGTTTTTGATATCGTACAATCTTCAAAGTTTTCTGAGAATTTTTTTTGTGTTTAAATAAAAGTTGCGCTTAGCTGAGTTTAGTTGCATATAAGAATTCTCCGCGAACGAAACGGTGTTTATTTTCCTTGAAATTTTACTTCACATTTGATTTTGATATACTAATGTTCTATAGAATAAACTTTATACATTTTTATTTATTAGAACTTCGACCACTTTAGAAGAAAAGTAAAAAACAAAATGAGAAGAGTAAATAATGAAATAGATACACACGTTTTACTTATTTTTACTGATTCAGTTTTGAAAGAAATAAGACAATGGATTTCTATAGAATATTTAGTACGAAAGTATCTATCGTAAATGTCGGACGTATTAAAATTGTATGTTAGCTTTGAAGGAGAGAAATTTTATTATAATTTCGAAAAATCAATCTATTATGATTATGAGTATAAAAGTGTATGTACTAGTTCTGAAAAATCATTTTTGAAGCAAAATGTTAAAGTCAATTTTAATTAATAAGCAAATACTAGATAATAAAAAAATAATAATATTTCCCTTAACATTATCAAAAATTTTAGAGCCGTAATAAATTAATAAATATAAATACAAATTTTAGTTGAGCCATAACTGAAAAAATATTTTTTTCATATTTATACACACAATTGTAATCAAAATATATTTATATAATTATGAATTTTTTATTAATAGAAGGCGAAATATATTCTTTAAATACATTATTACTATTAAAGTTTAAAGTATAAATAATAGTTCTGTGTAAATACTCAGTCACATATACGTAAATTATAATAAAAAATATATTTCAGCAAATTACTACAAAATATTAAAATACTAAAAAATATTTACGTAATATTTATATTAAAGTTAAACGAAAAATTTAAAACGAATTTTTACAAAATAAGAATTACATTGTAAAAATTATTTCTATCAAATTATAAAATATTAAAATTAGGAAAAATACATATATAAATATCTATATTTATATATTAAAGAAGAAGTGCAATATATTAAGTGCGGTTTTATATGTTTATATATTTAAAAAATGTTTTGATATATTTAATGAAAATAATAACTTATTGATTGCTTTAACATTTTTATATTTAATGCTCATCGTTGCCTATTATGCGGTGTCTATTACTGTGTTTTTTGAATCGGAATAATTGCTTTGCAATGAATAAATACGAATAAATATTAAACATGTGTGGGTGATTTATTCTTAAAAAATATAAAAACTAATACAAAAATTCTTGATAATATATCATAAATTTTCACAATGTGTAACATTTGATGTATATTTCTATAATTTAAAATTGAATTTCATGAAAAAATCTCTAAATTGAAACATAAAAAAATTGTAATCATAAAACAATAAATGACACATATATATTATAAATCTGTAAATAAAACAAAAAAATAAATGTACCTTACTTAACATAATCCGGGATGATGTGACATATACACTTGCAAAACGATAATAAAAACAAAATAAAACGGTTTGTTGTTCTATTCTTATATGGATTGATGTTTTGCCACCTTTTTACTGTTTGTTAATGTTTTGTGAATTGAAACTACTGTATTCACTTATTGTGTTTATATGTGTGTAAATAAATATATTCGAAATTTATGTATTGTTGCGTACTTTAACACATTCTATTTGTGAATGTTAACGTCTGATATATTATTAACTGCTGTAAATGAAACATAAAATTTAAATTCAACAAATATTTTTAAATAAAATATAATTGATTCAAACGATTGACAAAACTGATCCTAAAAAAATATTGTTACAAAAAAAAAAAAACTAATATTTCGTTTTGCTACAAAAACAATATTTTTCCCGAAAACTTTTTTTAAAAATTTAATATTGTTTTTATAATATTCGAACAAAATAACCGTAATTATTCCTCCCCTCCTTCAAACAACTTTCCCGCTGGCGTGCGCTCTTTACGACCCCCACAATGTCTCGGCAGGGTCGCACGCCGCTGCCGGGGCCTGGTGGGGGCATCATCATCAACATCACACACATCTTGATCATACACAAATTACAACATCTCAACCGCTTACTACAACACATTCCACGCCATCTGTGGTTTTATATGAAGATTCGGCAATCTTACATCAACAACAACAACAACCTCAACCTGCACAACAGTCACAGAATACATCATCGGTTGGAGAAAGTAGTCCTGTTTCTGCAAATAATCATATTACATCACCTGTTCATCAGTCGCAACACACTTCAAGCGGAGGAGGACAGCAAACGGCGGCGAATACCGTACAACAACAGCAAAACACAGTGGCGTCTAGCCAAACACAAATTGTGACGCCTTCAACGGCGAGTGAATCTCCCACAAGTGTTAGCTCTCAACCTCAAGGTAAAAGTTTTCTTGCTTGCAATTTTAAAAATGAAAGATATCTATATTTGCTGAACGGTATATTCACTTTTGGTAATTATAGAAAACATGTCGATTCTTTCAGCTCCACCGTTACACATACCTGCTAAAAGACCAAATTTTGATACCGATCCGTCTGTAATTCGGCATCCTCCGTATCCATGGACTTATGACACAGGGTTCGACCATCCTCAATATCCCCACAACTATTTGGACAGAGATCGAAAGCCAGTTTATTACTATCCAGACGCTCAGTTCCCTCAGGTAATTAAATTATATTTTAATTTCATCTCATAAAATTCAATTATTTTTAATGTAAGTCAATAACTTCTATGTGGCGAAATAACTTAATAGATAATTAACTTGTAACAATAAATATACATTAAAAGATACATATAAATGGGTTATCGTATTCCAAGGTCATATACCTACATTATATATAAATGATTTATATATAAAATTTCTGAAACAGGTACATATGTACATCATATGTCATAGTTTTAAAACTCAATTGAATTATATAAATTGTAAAAAGTAGTAAGTCAAAATAAATTTGGATATTTCGAATAAGTACTGTATACATATATGTTCATATGCATAAAAATTGCATGTGTGATTTCATAAATTGTGACTATTTAAATATTGCTTCTGAATTTTGATTAGAAATATTTCTTTTGTATGAAAATTTTTTCAAACATCAAAACTAAGTTTTTTAACTTTAATATTTATTAAACGTGATATGTATATAAGCATAATACGATATTATAACACTTAGATACATATTAAAAACGACTCTCTGCGCGTATATCTGTTGAAAAATATATTTATGTAAATAATAATATATAATAGTACATGTGCGATGCTTATGAATGTGTAGACTCATGTACGACAAAGTATTTTATTTACGAATTTTTATTCATATTTCTTTATTTTGTTTTTACACATTTTTTTTTACCGACCGTATTGTGTGTATAATAGGTAGGTTATATGATGGCAAAAAATTTTGCATATTGAGTTTTCGGTGGTAACGCACTTCTTCATGGTAGGGAAGCGCAAATAAACTTTTTTTAGTATCCTGTCGGTCTGTCGGTCTGTGTGTGAACGCATGCATTTCAAGTTCGGCTGAACCGATTTTGATGAAATTTTATATGTAAGTTTATTTTGAAGATGGCACGGATTGATCAACTTTAGGGATTTATCAGGTCTCAGGAACTTCTCTTTTAAACAGGTCTGTTTTACATTTTTGATCATTATGAAGAAAATATTCAACAGATTTACTTGAAATTTCATAAATAAGCTTCGCTCGACCGTTCGGAAATTCTCCTAACTTTATAAAGAGAAGAGAAATAATCAACCGATTTCATTGAAATTTAGTATTTAAATTCTTCGTATTAAAACAATGAACATAAAATTTTTTGGAAAGATCTGGGCTCGGAAACTGATCTGGGGGTCGATTTTTCATTTTTTACCATATCTACAGAACTAATTGATGAAATTTCTTGATATTTGAGTTCTGGTCGTACCGAAACTAAATATCGAGCACTTCATGGAATTCGAGTAGCTCAAAGTGAAACCCTTCTAAGAACCAAATTTACATTTTTCTAGGTATTTTAACAAAAAGCTTACTAACGACCTAAAAATTAGAAAAAACTATTTAACAGGCATTTTTATAATATTCTGTAATACTTTCACTTAACTAAACAATACACATTGCGGTCGGTTATGTGCTGACCACATCAGACTGTTTTTGATTACTATGATATACGTATACATAAATACATACATTTTTATACATTCAGTTTTATGTACACTTAAAATTTTAACCAAAAATGATATTCAGAAAACTCTTGAGATTAAAGAAATAAAAAACTTTAAACTTGTAAGAAATTTTACGTTATTAATTTTACGTTATTATAACGTAATAATATAGATATAATTACATATCTATATTATAATATTGATATAATTACAGCAAATATGACTATAAGATTAAACGCTCTTCCTATTCCCATCATGCAACGCCATGAAAATAGCCAACATAAAATATTTTGTAAAACGAGCTTTTCTTTTTCAAATTTTCCTTCTTCCAAATATAATTCAACAATAACCCTGTGTACACATACTCGTATGTATGCTTGCGAATATATACATTTAGGCATACAGTTTTGTAAATTGTTTTTTTTTTTGTATAACTGCAAGACGTTATTATATTAATAAATATTTATAATTTACGTTGTAAATATTAATATTTATAAGCCTTTAATTTACGAAAATGTTTAATAATCATTATTGTTATTCAAAGAATTATGTGTTGTATCACGCTGTATTATGTTCGTATAGTTTTTCTTTTAAATCACGAAGTATAATGCTGTTAAACTTTTACATTGTTACTAACTGAGGATATTTCCTATGATATAGATACAAAAATATCTAAATCTGTGTTACGCCTTATTTTTTAATTTTATGTCAGATGTCTCGATTGCAAAGTATAAAAATGAAAAAGTATTAAAATTTTACAAAATACAAAAAAAAATTAAAAAAGCACTATTAAGGTAAATATGTTAGATAAGCATTGTTAAAGGTTTCTATTATTTCCACTAAGTTTTCCAACCTTTTTTCTTGAACAAAATTATTTTTTAAAACAAGCGTTTTAAAAAAACTATGTAAAAGAATATTTGTCAATAACTACGCAATTAAAATTTGAGTTCTATGTTGGTATGTAACACAAAAATTTATCCGATAAAGTGGGAAAGCCGGTTTAAGGTAGTGGTTAATGAGGTAGGAGGCTTTGGACATATGTTTATAATTTTTTAAGAGAAATAAATAAGTTCTGACGGAATTAAAGACTTATATTTAGTTTAAACACAATTGTTTGGGAAAACCTCTATTTCCTTCATTTTAAAGAATTTCAATTTCCTTCTATTTACAACGTGAGAGAGATATATAAAAATCTTTGGTTTTGAGGATAATGTTTCCACTGAGACCTATTGCGTACAAGGTATTATTTTATTTTAACCTTGAACGGCACAAAAGTTTTTTTTTAGTTAGAAGACACTAATATTTTACAGCAAATTTTTAGTTAACATACCTAGAAAAGTGTAAAATGGGTTCTTAGTAGATGTTAACTTCATGCAATTTCAATTTCCTAAAAAGTTTGTCAATTAGTTTCGGTAGCAAACAGAACTCAAATATTAAATTTTAAGAAATATACTAGTTTCTTAAATATAAAGTAAAAATTATAAAATTCTGCAATGATCAAATGCAGAATTTAAGTAATTAATTTCAAGAAAATTGGTTTATTTCTCTTCATATGTCCAGTTTAAAGTCCAGTTGCTGATACCTAATTTCTTCCAAAAACTAGGTGGTTTCTCGTACTGCAAAATGAAGTTTGAATAAAAAAATATAAAATCGGCTCGTAAAAATTGAGAATTATTTAGGCTTGAGTTACACGCGTGCAGACACAGACATATCTTCCTAATAATAGTTTACAGACAACTCGATTTGCGAAAATTGGTGCTTTAGGTGGAAAATATAACTTTTCTTATTGTATGCAATGCGGTCGGTAAATTATAACAATTATTACTAAAATCTTACATGTTTTCAAAACTTCTATAGGTGTAGATATATAAGCTATAAAAAACAATGTCAATACAAAATAAATTACAAATAGAGAATTAGTATTTAATTTTCAATTTATGACTAGCAGCATAGGCATTTTCATAGGTAGTAAAATGTATTTTTATTATTTAAACTGAACTGATTCAAAAAAATCCGGTGCACCTATACGAAAAAAAAATCAAACGATTTTTTCTTAAGAAATCATTTTGATTAAATGAATTATATTTTTTTATCATATGAATGAGTCGTTTTATTATAAGTATATAACAAAGTTCCAAAAACGTTTTTGTTTTATTTCTTGACTTAAGTCATAAAAAAGGTCGGTTTCCAGTCCATTTATTTAGCTCATATTGCGCTATAAATTGAAAAAATGCACTTACATGAGAAAAATTATTCGACAATGTTTGACAATGTTGGTAATAAACAAGACAATTTTTTTATATTATTTTTTAAAATTTTGCAAGTAGATAATCTAAGTATTTATTATATGTTTTTATAATAAGTTTCAAATACATATCTGTAAGTTTATTTATGTGCCGTTTGATCATATCGCATTATAGTTGATCATAATATATAAAAAATTATACTTAAACTTTATATTTGAAGCTTTATTATCCCAAAATAGTCAAGAACGGTTTTGTTTTTACCCAAAACTTAACGAATATTGTTATAGAGCAAAAATTTTTTAAAAAATTTTTTAAAATAAATTTGTTTTTTAAATTAAAAAACAAATTTATTTTAAAACTACTTTCAGCTCTAAAAAAATCCGTTTTTGATACATGTAACGAAGACTTAAACTAAATCGATATATTGTTATTTATGTTTAAAGAACATTTTCTTAAAACAAAGTGTTGGATGAATGTCACAAACAATTTTGTTAATTGATAGGTTATTGTAAATAGTTTTCGAAAATTTCTCTTATAACAGTTAAAGAAAAAAATGTATTAGACAAAAAGGCTTTATATTTAAGTTTTTTTCTAACAGCTAGTTCAGTTTTAGAAAAGGTAGTGGTACTGAGGGTGCTTTGCTGAATTTTGCTTGAAAATTTATCATAGTCTTAATAATGGTCACTCTTGTATTTCCCATAGTTATGGGGGGTTTGTTCTTAACTGGTTTGCTTCTTTTCTTAAAAATCGTAGTCAGAGAATTAATGGTACCTTTAGTAATTACACTTAAATTAATATTAGAGTTCTTGGATTCTGTCCTGGGACCGCTACTATTCATTATTTTTATTAATACGCCATATGTTCATCAAGGTATACCAACGTTTAACAAGTATCGCGTTTGCTGATCATAAGTCATTTTTATATAACTGCCCTAATTTAATGAAAGTTGCTTGTGATATTAATTATGATTTAGATTTAATCAGGCGCTGATTTCATGTACATCGACTAGTTATTAGTCCTAAAACTAATTTTACGGTTTATAGCTGGAGTGGTAACGTTTCCGAGTTGAGTAATCTTTATTTCCATGCCCATAGTTGCAAATAATTCACTCTTGTTGAAAATTTAACCTTAATTTAGTTTTTTGACACTTTCTTCTGTGATAGTTGTTGTTTTTCAATTGAATGCGTTACTCTTTCAAATACTTAGGTTTATTTCTTGATAATAATTTTAATTGGCCTGAGCACTCAAACTACTTGAAAA